AAAATTGAGCACAAAAAGCTCTGAAGTTTACTTTGAAGATAAAATAATTCTAAGATTAAAATAATAATCTGAATATCTGAATATAATTTAGTGATATTAATACAAATTGCAGATTCAGAAAGTTTAAAGTAGAACACTCAAACAGAAATATTAGATATAACAATTGGTGAAGAACCTTTAGGCAAATTTTTTAAAAAATAGATAATATAAAAAAGTTATATATATAACTAATTGTATGCTCTTCTGTAGTAGTTTATAAATCATATTATTAAAAAAATCATTAATAAAAAGAAAGAAGCCATCTTAATATCAAAAAAAAAATAAAATAAAATATTAGTTTATTAATTAAAAAAAAAGATTTATATAAATAAAAAATTTTATACAATCTTAATATTTTTTATAATAAATTAATAAAAAAAAAGTTCATTATTAAAAATTACTATATTTTATTAAAAATCTATTACCAAACTATTGTAAACTTTAAATATTTAAATTTGTTGTGTTTATGTTTTTTACTTAATCAAATTAGAATTAGTAATAATTATAAATACTAATAAAACTAAATAATGCTAATAAAACTGATAAATATCTAAAATCTGATCAACTGTTGTATTGAATTTTATTACTTTTATTACTTTTCACTAAGAATTTTATCAGTTTCATTAACATTTATAGTAGTAACTCATTAGATTAAAAATATAGTTAATTAAATTAATTGTAAAATATTTTTAACTACTGTACAATCTTAACTAAAATATAACTAATACAATAAATTTTACAAAAACTACATTTTTTATTATTAATATTAGTATTAATCTGTTTAATATTTTTCAATATTATTTATTTAGTGTTTTTCTTTTATTACTAATTAGTATTCAAAAATTGTAATAAATACTATTATAAAAATTTTTTAATACAAACTGGTATCAGGCAATGTGAATCCATGATAAGTCCTTAGGTCATATAAATCATAGGAACCAGGTAGGAGGATGGAAGCTCACTTGGAAGACCCAAGTAAAGAGGTAATCTAAACTTTCAACAATGCTACTATAAAGACTAGACTTATGAAACAGAGCTAGAACTTGTGAAACCATACAAAGAACCAGCCTTTGAGGAGGAGCCGAATAGAACTAACCAGACTATCAGAATTTCCAGGTTCTAGAGAAAAAGGTTACATGCTGACAAACATGTAAACCAAAGGTGTATGATTATATCTGTCTTTCTGGACTATCTGTTTGAAAACTTAATGAAACTTGAATTGAATACCAAAGTAGTAGGGATATATTGTAAAGTCAGTACCAAAGTTGGGATAAACTCTACAAAGGCATAGCAGTTAAATGGTATGCCCTAACTGCCAGTGTTGGTCTCGACCATAGCAATACCAGGTCAGCTGTAAAAATAAGATCCAGAAAATTCTAGAAGGTTTAGTACAAGATCAAAGATTCCCCATATGAGTGAACTGCTTTAAAGACTTAGTGATCATAATATATTTACACCAATATCAACCAGGGCATCTTGGTTGGTGTAGGTAAATAGGTGAATACAGGAACAGAGTGGTTAAATAAGGAACTTACAAGTAGGTTTCAGATATAGCAGCTAGTGTAAAACCTTCAGGCGAACTACTTAAATTAGACAATAACTAAAGTTGTATAAGTGGCTAGTTGTACACTTTTTTCATGATTGCCCTCTGTGGTTATAATGCAACCATTAGCTGAATGTACTATCAATAAAATTCTGAGTTGCAAGTACTCACCTTAATATTTAAAAAAAAAAATATTTTGGTTTATGTAATACAATAATCTTGACTATTTCTCATTAGTTTATTATTCTTAAAACATAATAAAAAATTTATTAATAACTTACCATTAAGTAGTAATATTTTTATAATCTAATAAAAAGTTTTTTTTTCAAAAATAAAAAAACACATAACTGATTCTTCTACAATAGTAAACCTTATATAAAAACTTCATTAAAATTATTTTTGTGTTTTAAAAATGAACAACTTTTACTAAATGCTTCAATATTTAACCTAACCATTCATTTTGAAATGTATATGTAAAATGAACCTTCTACTATTAGCTTAGGCCGAACCTAGCATCATGAAAAACAATTTTAAAGGGTTGACTACTAATAATAAAAACTTACTTTAATATCTTCTGCAATATCTTTTTTTCTTTTTAATATCTTCTTCTTCAATACCTTTATTTTCAATGCCTTCTTTTGCACAGTTAAAACCGTTATTTTAAACTTCATTATATTTTCAATTATCAGGTGTCTGGGATGTATAAAGTTTTATTTATCAGGTTTCTGGGACGTATAATGTTAAAATACGTGTAATACATGTCAGGTTTGTGACGCGTGTTACTATGATAGTCAATCAAAATCATGTGATTTTCGTATTTATTAAGACTCGTTTGATTGGCTGATGTAAAATCAGTTGCCCGGGTAACTTATTTATATATTTTAGAATAAAATGTCGTTTTAAATGGACGTTGATATTCACTATGCCACTTTAATCTATTGGACCGTGCATACTGTAAAGGTACAGGAAATATTCTCGTCTAAGGGTATTCTCAAGTAATGTGATTAGCTAATGATTGTGGTTATGAAACAGATGACTAATGACCAATGGTAAATACACAACGGAAACTAGAAATCCATTTTTAGATGAAATTTGACTTTGCAATTTGAATCCGGTTAAAACGTCGCATTGAATATCTATTATTTTAGTTCAGATTGATTTTTAATTAGAATAACAGCACAGCTCGGTTCGACTAATAAATTATTCGGCACTAGTTTCAGAGCCAAAGAATCAGTTTAGCTTGGTCAAAATTAGCCTTGAGCCGAGCCGGTCGTTTGCATCAAAAAAGCCCCCAGTATAGTCATGAGTACCATATGCCTTAAAATTAATTTTATATTATTTTTATTTTTTGATTTATTGGCATTCCGAATTAACTGCATATCGGTCATGTATGTTTCATTATTAGTAATGGAATTTTATCTTTTACATATTATTTCGATTCATCAACTAATTAAAACTTTCCAGAAGAACACAATGAATTGGCCGTAAACGTATACGGTCGCAATAGTAAAGTATCACGAGTGTATTCTAATATTAAAGACTAGATAATAAAATTTCAGCTAGTAATAATAGTTAAGAAAATATATTAGTAAATTGATATACTTAATGTAAAGTTAATTTTTATGTGAATTGTTTATCCATTCAGGTTTAAAATTTGGCCAATTATGTTGTCGTCATGATGCCCAAAACCCAAGAGTAATGTTCATTCAAAGTACAAGGATGAGACTTTTTATCATCATTGTGGATAAATATTTGAATCATAAATACGAGAATATAATCATACAATCGAAATAATTTACTTACTTTTGTTATCGCAGCATTATCTATTAAGCAAATCTTAAAGGTACGACAGGCCAATATACTATCTCATTACGATTTCCATCATCGTGATCTTTATCAATTTTACAACTTTGAACATAAGCAGAATTCACTGCTGCTTCTAAAATGGTTATATTTGGATAAGAATCACCATATAATTGTTGTAATTCTATGGTGGTTAAGTTTGTTGGTGAAATTAGAGATGGATCTGGTTCTGAGGTAAGATACATAGATGTTGATGAATCATTAAATTTCTCAGATGATTTATTTTGAGATGCAGATGATGGACTTGCTTCTGCAACTAAATTTAATTATAAAACAACGAGCTGATTAGTATCAATTTGAATAAATATCCAAAATCTCTTGCAGTATAGGTGATCAACTTTATAATTATAATAAATTTTGTCATATACTGCAAGGGATCCAATATATAATAGATTTCTGAAGAAATTACGTTGTTGTTTTCTTAATTCAGAAAATCGAAACATCGAGATAGCTTCTTCGCTCAATACAAATTCAACTTTATCTTCTTCCTCTTCTGCATTCCATTCCTCTTCTGCGTTCCATTCCTCTTCTTCCGCATTCCGTCCTTCTTCATATGCATCAAAATTTTCAGCAAACCCTGGTCTTTGCTCCCCATTCTCTGATCCTTCAGTAGTACCCCACAAAGGCCATGGATTTGGATTTAGTGCGTGTAGAAAAAAGTTTTTTTGAGTAAAGTGTCTAGCATGAAAGTCACTGAAGCGGAGAATGTTTCGAGGACTCGAATAGGTGTCAATAGGCGAAAATGGTGGATGTATATGTGGTGGTTGATACATTTAAAAAAATTAAATTTAGTCGGTCGGGAGATATGTTACACCCAGTGTTGTCAATGGACAGCTTTGGACATGAGTTTGGACATTTTTGGACATTTTTGGGCAAAAATATAAATTAAAATTACTCACAATTTTGTTAAGATAATCTATATACATTTCTAAGTAAAAAATATTCAAAACCTAAAAAAATATATAATCATATATTTTTTAGACAAATTTATTAATTATTAGAGCTTGGACATGCTTTGGACACTTTTGGACACTTGGACATTTGGACGTTGGACATAGTCAAAAAAGCCTTGGACAGTGAAAAATGTACAACACTGGTTACACCGATCGTTTTATATGTAGTAACGTTATATAAAATCAGGCCCCATTCAAAGAACAGGAGAACCGTCGATGTTACACGACTGATTTATGGGATTATAATCATAACATGTCTAGCGGAATGATCTGGTGTTGTAAATTAATTTTTTTATATGTTGCACACCGGGTGAAGAATCAGTCGTGTAACATCGACGCCTGTTTCATTCAAAGTTAATGTTAATTTCGTAATACGTACGTATGAAAAATTCTAATTCAGCCGCTGTTTTCATTAATTTTGAAGATGAAGGTTTCATAAAAGCATTTTTGAGGTAACCTAGTAATCAGAATCATGTGAATAATCCAAATATGCATTTAACGTCAACCAATAAATTTTCGCACATGATCACTTTGTCGGTTTAAAACTCTTAATCTAGATCACAATGCAGCAATGATTTTAAGAATACAATACTCATTAGGAAGGATTCACAATCTGAAATCAGATATGACGATATTACCTCGTAACCATGTGTGAACATGAGCATATAAAACATCAGCAATTCGCAATTCGCACCTCGTACGATAATATCAAGAAAAAACCTTTTATAAGCGTATTTATTTCTATTTTTTTACTTTATCCACCCAATTATTAAGAAAATCTTTTAAATTATGACTACGGCACCATCTAACGCTGCAACGAATACGGGGCGTCACCATCCCCATACATTGTCGGCCATGGTATGCATATATTTGAACGCGTTACTCATTTATTGATCATGTATTCAGGTTTCAATCTTTTCTAAAAGGACTTTCAAAGCGCAAGTTCCGGAGTTGCTGCCAAGGCTATGCGTTCAGAGCTAAGCAGGCTCGCTAACGCGATTCAAGACGCGAAGGCTCGTAGAGTAAGTAATTATAAACTTCGTATTCCCCTTGATTTTTTTTCATTAGATTTTAACTTTTTGTAATCGAATTATTATTAAGATTCATCAAAATGAGATGGATCATTTTTATTCGTTGTTCACCCGATATTTGAGCGAAAAGTCTAAAGGCACAAAATTGTAAGTGTTGTATGTTCTTTTCAACTTTCATAAAAAATACGTAATGATCTTTTATTATTATTCAAAGAGATTGGGATAAAGTTAAAGAACCGAGTCCTGAACAAATTATTCCATATAAAGATCTACCTGTCTGTGAAAACCCTGAACTCCTAAACAAATTGGCTGTTCTCAAACTTAATGGTGGTCTGGGAACAACCATGGGTTGTGTAGGTCCAAAAAGCGTCATTGAAGTTAGAGATGGTATGACATTTCTAGATTTAAGTGTCAGGCAAATTGAGGTATGAATTCATGTTATTATCGCTTATTAGTTGTTATCTGTCATTATTTCTGACATGTTATAATTGTTGTTTGTACACTCAGTACCTTAATAGAAAATACGACGTTAATGTTCCATTTATACTCATGAATTCATTTAATACTGATGATGATACGATGCGCATCGTCCAAAAATATGGAAGTCATAAGATTGATATTCTCACATTTAATCAGTCGCGTTACCCTAGAATTAACAAGGAGTCTCTATTGCCAATGCCTCGAACTCCATCTGGTGATATCAGTCAATGGTAATTTGCTGAATTGTATATAAGCGTGTATGATGCTTTTAAATTATTATTGATTGACATTCTAAGAGATATAATTAATGTGAATAGGTATCCCCCTGGTCATGGTGATTTGTTTGAATCCATGCATAACTCTGGGATATTAGATCGGTTAATTGCTGAAGGAAAAGAATATGTTTTTATTTCCAATGTTGACAATCTTGGTGCTGTAGTTGACCTAAATATTCTTAAGTATATGGTAGATAATGATTCGGAATTCCTAATGGAAGTTACTGATAAAACAAAAGCTGATATTAAAGGTGGTACGCTTATTGACTACGAGGGTACCGTTCGATTACTGGAAGTAGCTCAAGTTCCTGCGGAACATATTGATGACTTTAAGTCAATCAAAAAGTTTAGAATCTTTAATACAAATAATTTGTGGATCGATTTGAAAGCTATAAAACGCGTTACTGAAGAAAAAGAGCTTAACCTAGAAGTCATTGTTAACAATAAAACGCTTGAATCTGGTGTAAAAGTAATTCAACTAGAAACTGCTGTTGGTTCTGCTATTAAGCATTTCAAAAATGCTCATGGTATAAACGTACCACGAAGTCGCTTCTTACCTGTTAAATCTACCTCCGACCTATTTCTTGTAACCTCTGATTTATACTCGCTCAATCACGGTGAATTAAAAATGAACCCTAAACGACTCTTTCAAACGGTACCGTTGGTGAAGTTAGGTGATGAGTTTAAGAAGGTTAATAAATTTACTCATTATTCATTTACATGTTAAATACTGAATATTATCACTTGAATTAACGTTTATTATCGTAGGTTTCAAACTTTTTGGCTCGATTTCAATCACCACCTCATATTCTCGAATTAGATCATCTCACAGTCACTGGTGATGTAACATTTGGTGCTGGTGTACAACTTAAAGGAACAGTTATAATCGTCGCGAACCACGGCCATAGAATCGATATTCCACCAAACTCAGTGCTTGAGAATAAGGTTGTAAGTGGAAACTTGAGGTAATGCTTTCACAATATTAATTGAACAAATTTGAATTATATTGCAGTTAAATATTAAATATTATTTATTGTTGCAGGATTCTTGATCATTAAATCATTTGGTTTGACTTATACGCATGGTACATGTACCCATATCATGATTTATATTAAATAGTATGATTGGCTTAAAAAGTATTAATACAGATAATTATAAAAGGATGAATATAATTATATATGTAACATTTTAATTACGAAAGCTTTATAATAAAAAAAAATTTGTTTTCTGTACAATAGGTGTCAAAAATAATAACCAGTTGAACATTGATTTTTTTTATAATATTAATCTGTACATCGCATTCTAGATCCTAGCGCGGTGGAAATTGTATTGGCATTTACTAATTTTTCCAAGTTCTATTGGTACCTAGTTAGTTACATACAAATATGGCGATTATAAATGAGTGTGATAGTAAATATACATTCTACATAGTCACAATAATAAATAAAATAGGTTAGATGCTGAGAAACGTTATAATTGTATTTTTTTATAAATATTATAAAATTTATAGGGAATTGATATTCGTACCCTCATTTTTGATATTCGTATCCCCTATGTAATAAATTTCTATTCACGTGATCACGTGACATATCCGAATGGCTCGAAATTCCGAAAATTCTACGGACAGAGCTTAGGGACAAACTACCCCAGGATCGCCGTCAAATTTTCACTTTCACGTGATGATAATCCAATAGTGTGTTTCATTTTAATGTAACGTTACACGATTAGGAAGATCAAACAAAACGTTCGCTTTTCAAAAATCGCTTATTCCTCAAAAACTTGCATAAGAAACCACCTTTTGAGCTCTAATAAAAAAAATTCCTCGAGTGATTTTACTATAACTCTTCTAAAACCTAGCCCTATTATAAACGCTAACCCTAACTTAACCGAATTTAAAGATTTTTAAACGCGGTCACATGAAAGTGAAAATTTTGACGAGTAAATCTACGGACACCTACCAGCTCACGTGAATTTGTACCTACCCAAAGTTAGGGTAGGTAAGTAGGTACAAAAATTACCTGAATTGGTAAGTATTCACGTGAATTGGTAGGTGTCCGTAGAC